AAAAAAAAAAAAAAAGAAAAAGAAATATATTTCACATCCAGGCCCAATTAAGATACACACACACACACACACACACACACACACACACACACACACACACACACACACACACGTCCCATAAAATACTTTTACTATGTGTAGCTGAGTCTGTTACTTTCCATTCTATTACTTAAAAAAAAAAGTCCCTGCTCTTCACCCACTAAATGGTTTTGCCACCACTAATAGATAGCAACCCCCTCTTTTAAAATAGTCAAGAGAGCGTTCTGGGGGCATTATTACTGAAGTACAAGGAAAAAACAGTTGTATATAATGTTTTTTTATGGCATTACAATCATAAAGTTAACATTTCAAGGTATGTTTTATATATATATAGAATTTAAACTAGTGGGGAATGCTACCCAGGAGCTTTGTAAAAATACATATTCCTTCCATACAAAAGAGTATTACCTGGCAATAAACAGCAATGAAGTACTGATACATGCTACAACATGGATACATGCTACAACCTTGAAAACACTATACTAAGCAAAAGAAGCCAGTCACAAAAGACCAGGTACTGTATGACTCCAGTTACATGAAATGTCCAGAACAAGCAAATCTATACAGAGACAAAAATAGATTAGCAGTTGCCCAGGGCTAAGGGTTGGGGAAAAATGGGGAGTGAATGCTAATGGGAAAAGGATTTTGTGGGGAGGCAAGGAAAATGTTCTAAAGTTGATTGTGAGGATGGTTGCACAACTCTTGCAAATTCATTAGAAACCATTTAATTCCAAACTTTAAATGGATGAGTTGTATAATATGTGAGTTATATCTTGATAAAGCTATTTTCAAAAAACACATATCCCCAAGAGTTGGTGAATTATAATTTCTGGACACAGAGCCCTGCGTTCTACATTTTAACAAGTTCCACAGGTGAACCCTTATGTAGCAGGTCTAGCACTGGTCTCCACATTTGTGAACCACGACACCCAACAACTTAAAAATATTAACATGAGTGATACAGCATCTCACTATACATGACCAGCTTTACACCAGATTACACAACTGTGCGCAACAAGAGAATGTTTAACTAAGACACCTACGTACTCTTGGATAAGTCACATGAAAGCAATAGTTATATTCATGTTTTGGTCCTCCAGATTGCAGCCTCACATATAAGATATACAAATGTTTGTGAAATAAAAATGCCAAGCTGTTCCTCTGACATCACACAAGTATTTTCAGAACACTATTTCTACACAGAAGAGAAAAATATGGTTACATAAAACATCCATACTAAAAGAAAAGTGTTGTTTTGTTTCTTTGCTA